CAAGCCTTTAGCAGGCCAAGAGGTAGGCAGAGGGACACACAGAGCATTGCAGGAGAACCTGGTTTGCCAGGCTGGCTTATCTCCAGGATAGTTGAAAATACAGACGTGGTACCATTACCCACCTTTTTTTATTATTGCCTGGGGATGAGACTGTTCCCCAGGGTAGCAAGAGAAACACGTTCTTATCCAGCCCTACCCTAGCGAAGGGATTTTTGTCTCCATCTCTCTCCCTCCTGAGGAAAGTGCCAAACCATAGGCCATGCTTGGGTGGGCACACTCCCTATCTCTCTTATCTTGTCAGTTTGTGCAGCAAAGAATGAAGGATTTATAGGGCTGGAGAGAGAGCCTGCAAGGGGGTGCAAGCCTGAGTAGTTCACACTGTAATAAAGTCACTGTCTTAAGGGGGGTGGAGGGGGATTTCCTGTTTCCTGGTCTCTGCTACAAGAAACACTTTTACATGACTCATTAGGTAAAAAAACATAATAGCACTGAGAACAGGGACTGGGCTGCAGTATGCTATCCCACTCCCTCCAACTACACACTCAAGTTATTCATGTTACTGTTAGAAATGTCAAAGCTATTAAGAAATGTTGCTATGTATTTCAACGTGCTGACACCCTAAAGGATTTTCAGCTTGGCAAATATGCCAGCAGGGGAAATGTGGGCCCCAAAGGTTTTCTTGGCATAAATAAACAAATTATAACTATAACCTTTTTTTTTCCCCAAACCAGAAGAGGCTATTTTTAAATATGGGAATTGAACAGAAGTAATCCTGGCTTAACCTGAGCACTCAAACTGTGTAGCCCAAGTGAAAGGGTTGTGTCAGTGACAGGGTTGTTGGTAATCCACCTGCAAGACTAAGTTGTACATGTGAGTATTAATAACTGCACTTCATGATTAATAACTACAGTGATTACGGTATAATACTGATATGTTGATAATTATGAATAATATTGATAAGAAGAAATAATCAAGTAAGAGCTGATGAGATTTTTGATACTCATGTAAATACATGAATTGTGTAACCATTAAGAACTCAGCTGCTGAGTGTACTAATCAATACCTAATCAAAACAGGTGGGAAATGTTTGGAAATGAATATATAGAGTAGCTAACGGCATATTTTAAAGGGTGGCTTAAGGGCTTCAGGCTTTTTGCAGAGTGACTTTACTGTGCTGAGGCACGTCATTTTTGCCGGAGTGCTTTAATGATGTCAACAGGTCTGCGAGTACAGAAGTGGATAATTAGCAGCTAGCAAGGTTTTCATGGCTGGGTTTCTTGCACCTAGGGTAAAAGAGCGCTAACCTCTGTCTCAGATCCTGCTGGAACAAGACAGCAAATGCTGAGAGCATCCTTTGGAAATGGTAGGATTGCTTGGCCTACTGCCTTCTGCCAGATGATGCTACTTTAGTGTGCCATACATGAAACCAACCCCAACAATTACAAAATCTCACAGTACTATCCAGGGCTGAGCAAGAGAGACAGAAGGAGCCTACATGCCACAATTGCTATGCCAAAAGGATGAATATTGTTCTCCTGCCTCGTGACAAGAGACCATTTGGATACTAGCAATAGTTATGAGATGTCATTTGTGCAGGCTGGCACTAATCCATTCTATACAAAACACATTGGAAAAGGCCCCTGGTGGTAGAGTTAGTGGAAAAATCAGGTCTTATTAGCAAGCCCGCGCTACCTGCCTGCTGTGTGTCTTCACACAAGGTGGAGTGGCAGCACTGGGATGGGATATCCTCTCCTGTGATGATATGATGTCTGGCCCTGTCTTTGGCACACCCATCGGTTTTTTGCATAAGAAAAATGTAAAAATGTAATGTTTCTGAAGAGAAAGCATTGGGAGCAGGTAGTCCTTTGCTTTGTCAAGGTCAGTGGGACCTCCCTTGTAAGACTGTCTCAGACAGAGACCGTTCAAAGCTGCAGTTTCCCAGGAAAGCATCACTAGGATACCAGTCAGGACAACAGTATTCTCACATCTCTGCTGCTAAAATTCATCCACTGTAAAAGAAAATCCAAAGTTGTGGGGAGCAGCAAGGTTATGGGGAGGAGTAATTTGACTCCAGGACTCTTTGTCCTGTTTGCACCGTACTTCATTCTTGGTAAGTAAAAAGCATAAACCCCCATCATTCCCCTTCAGCATATCTAGACTTGCTGACTGTCTTAAGCCCCTGAGCTCTTTGCTCCTCGCTGACTGGCAGTGTGGGCTCAGCAGGAGGAGGAGCCCATCCATGGAGGCAGCAGCAGGGGCCAGCCTTGTCCCCACATGTATGGGACCAGAGACAAGGCGAGGAAATGCAGGACACAGGCAGAGTTTTACAAATCAATTTCTGTTGATTCGCATGCTTAAAATGCTGAAGCAGGTTCCCCTGCCTGCACTTGAGCAGTAACAGATTCTGGATCTTTTTTCTGCCTTCAGCCACTTGCTGATGTCTTGGGTACAGCTGCATAGCACTGGTGCTATAGGGCTGGAAACTTAACCTGAGTAACTTCAGTGACAAATGTGCTCCTGCTGTTACTGAACCTGGAGCACAGGTTGGTGCCTGCGAAGGCATCCATCCTCTTTTCCCCTGTGTAACTTGCAAAACCAGATATTCTGCTCTACAGATATGCAGTCCCATGGTATTACCATATATCCACAACAGATTGTAGCCGTAGGTCTTGCAGAAGCGGGGTCTGCCACAGTCCAGTCAAGGCTTTTTCTGTGTTGGCTCTTTCCAGTTGTCTTTCAGCAAGTATGCATCCTCTGGCTTCTGGCCCTTTGCTCCCCTGTTTATCTTGTTCTCCCCCTCTTATATTTTTCCTCTGCTCCTATTCTGGTTCATTTTTACCACTCCCTCCTCTTCCCCCAGTCCAACCTCACTGTGCATGCTCAATGGCATATAAACTAGTAGAGATTTCAGCTGGAGTTTGGGTGCACTCTTGGAAATGGCCTTGTTGCTCCAGCTTCCCCCTTGCCCTTTTTACATCTTTCTATGTCACAGTCTGAATCCTTCAGATCAACAGCGTTGCTACAATGCAGCAAGGCAAGAATTTTCCCTAGTTGTCCAGAAATTAGCAGAAATACAGATTAAAAGGGCACCTGGTGCCTATGGCGATGGAGGTTCTACAGGCAGGTTCCTGGCACACCCGCGGTTGCAGGTACTTCTGAGAACCGCATCCGATGGGGATGCATGGCACTCCTCTTTCTTTGGAGGAAAACCCAAGCACTCTCAGCAGCGAGAAGGCTCAGTCCAGCAGGGTTACCGAGGTGGATTTTGTGCTACACCTAGGAGCTTTCAAAACTGTGAGCTAGCTTTGGCTAGCCCAGCCTGGCTGCAGCCAGCTGTGACAGGATTCTGCCCTAAATGATTTCATCTATTTCTGCAGCTATGGCATGCACTTTTATCTGGAAGCAAACTGTTTACTTACTTGTTTTTAATTATTTATGGTAATGAAATAGCACCCATATCTCAACATTTTCCACAAAAATGAATACTCTTGTAGTTCAGATCTGTGGCCATGAAAGAAAACACAGTTCCCCACTGTAGCTTATAATGTTTATTTGTTTTTAACTTCAAAAGACAGGTGATTTTCTCAAAACAAATAGAGTAATGGGGGAAATGAAGGCAGGCTCTCTTTGTAACTTTCCCAAGAAACACATCTGGAAAAGCATACTTTTGCAAAACAACTACATTTTAGCACACCCAGACAGTGAGATTCCAAAAAGTCATAAATAGCAGTAAGGTTAACAACCAATGTTGTTGGGGTTTTTCTCTTCTTTTTTTTCCCCCTTGTTTAACTTGCAAACGGCACTAAACGAACCCACAATTTCCATGGCTAATACAGAGACATTTGTACAGAAGTTTGTGAGTATGCAATTCATTTCCAATATGGGGAATTATGAAGATATACCTCCTCACTTTGAATCTGTAAAATAAACTCGGTAGAATACCTGGTTATTATAACATCTGATAGACTTGCTACTGATTTAAGCCTACATCTTAGCCATTTAAATCACTACCCTTAATTGGTACTTAGTTACATTTATCTAAAAGTCATTTTTTACCCATAGGCAGGTACAAAAACTTTCTTTAGAAGCAGCAGTGAAGTGTTGGATTATATTTTGTAAATAGCTCTGATGCCACACTTCATCAGTACTCTTAAAACCTTAGTGTCATTTTTTTGGTTTCATTGCCTGTACAACATCTTGCTCCGCCGTTAATAGTCAGTAGAAAAACAACCAGTTTGGAGAGACATCAGTAAAATTAAAAGCCAGCTTTCCTCAGTCTGAATGCTCCAGCCAGGCCCTGCTCACCAGGAAGGTCAGGGAAGGTGGAAATAATTCTGAAGACCAACAAGAAAAAGCATGAAGCCACTGTTCAGATGACAGTGACTAGCAAATGCCAAGATCTACAGCTCCTAGCACCTGCACAGACACACACGGAGGCAGGCACGGGTGACCAGACAGGCACCCATGCAGGCACCCCCACGGCAGGCACCCCTCGCTGCCCCGCAGGGAACACACGGCTTTGCCTATCGGCTCGCAGCCATCGGAGCTGCAGCAGCTCCACAACCATCTCAGCAGGGCCCGTCTTCTCCTACAGCACCACGGAGCTAAAACCACCCTCTGTGGCTGGGATTGTTGAAGAGCAAAAAACATTTTTGGAAATCTAATCTCCCAATGAAAAAAAATTTGGGTAGGAACATATTAGTTATTTTTGTTAGCTAATGCCTACTCTTCACAAGTCAGTTGTGCTTTTCCTGCACGCAAATGAAAAATCAAATTTTTCTGGCACTGGGTGTGCTGCCCACAATGTAATGTGCTTCATAGCTTTTTGTACCTACATAGAAGGAAAATATCACTTTACCATCTGATTTGCTTGAGTTGTATGGTCATCAGTGCTATAGCAAGAAACAGATGGACTGGGAATTAGGAAATCACTCAAGCGCTGATCTGAAGAGGGTCTTCCTGAACACAAAGTGGGTGCGTGTGTTAAGTGGCCACAAAACTTACAGTCTATCACATTCAATATCAGGGTTATTAGACGGTGTATCAAGAATACCAAAATACTCTTCCCTGTTTGCTGGAGGTGGGGTATTGGTTGGACTTCCCACCCCAGAATCAGGGCTTGGTGCAGGGTGCATTTCTCCTGCATGCTTCTCTTCTTTCTGAGAAGGCTCTTGTTGTTTTTGCTTGAGGTTTTTGAAACGTTTGAGCTTCACAGGGTCCTTGACTTCCTTGGCACAATGGAACAAGATGAAAATGTCCCTCCGAAATTTGGAGCTCATTCCAAAGTAGATAATGGGATTGTAGAAGCTGGCAGACTTAGCAAACAAACTGGCAAGGATGCTGGTAAGATTCGGCACAGGGTGACCATATGCAGACCATATAGAGATGACAGCGTATGGTGACCATGCAATAATGAAGGCTGTGCAAATGACAATAGAAACCTAAAAGACAGAAGAAGAACAATCTTAAATCTACTCTGGAAGACATCAGGGAAGCAAATTTGGCGCTTGGCTGGAAGGGAGACATCAGATTGTCCTAAGGGTATGGCTCACAGGAGAGTAAAGGCAAGCAAAAGGTTAGCTTCGATGGAGCCAGGCAGACCTAAGTGTGATACATCTAATTTTGGTGTGGTGGTGTGCTTGAGCAATGCCTCATGTAAAGGAATGAAAATAGCTACAGTCACCTGTATGTTTATATGAATTAAGAGGGTTTCAGGTAGACTTCAGTCAACAGTAAGTAAATTGAGATCTCCACTGTAACTTCTGTGTATGCTCAGAAGTAATGTAACTTCTGAAAGGAAAGAAAACCCAAACTTTTGGTTTTATGCGGTATAACCCACTCCAATTATATTTAGATTATTTTTCACATGTGATGTAGCACCAATATTAGCCAACTGACGAGGGTAGGAGTTTTAAACAATCCTCATATTCTTCACTGAGTTGAGACTCTCACTAGAGAATATAGAGAAATGAAATGCGACTGATTCGTTTTGTTCTAGTTGGGACCAATTTTTGGAATGACAGATTTCATTGAGAAAAATCCCACCCAACGTGAAACCCAAACTCACCCTGGTGACGTCCCGCTCCATTCTCCTCTGTCTGTCTGTTGGATCACCCAGTCCTGTTAATGAATTGCTTAGCTTGACAGTATTGATAATTGACACATATGAGAAGACCATAACTGATACAGGTAGGATAAAACAGCAGATAAAAATGGAGACAATGTAGGACTTGTAGATTGTAGAGAAGTTGGCTTTTGCCCAATCAATCTCACATGTGCCATACATGCGATCTGGAAAGCAAAAATAAATTGTTTAGCATTTTTAGAACCTTAATCTGCTTTTAAGCAATTAATTTATCAGTTCAAATGCTGCATTTTTCTTCTAAGCACTAAAGAATGGATTGATAGTTCTGATTTAATAAGCTGTGACATAATTTCCTACATAAACAATTTTTCAAGACCAGCTAGACCGTAACAAGTTTTAGTGCATATTATCATTCTGTCCAGTTTAGATTTCCAGTGTACATCCATAATGCACAAACTCTCATTTCTGAATAGGAGATTATGATACTTTATTAGGAAAAAAAAGAGAGTATTCATTCAGTAGGTTTGAGATTTTTGAGTGTTATCTACTCTTATTTGTAATAACCTACATAATAACTTCCTAAGATGAGCACTGTAACACCATAACAAGCAATTGTAAAGAGACAATATGCCCGACGTAAAAAGTCACTACTTACATAGCAAAGTAGGAAATAAAAATATTGAGGGGTTTTTAATAGAAACAAAAAGGCAATTAAGTTTTGACTGTAGCAAGAGCCATGAAAGCAAATTGATATAACTAATAATAAAGATTATGGGAAGATGAAACATATAAATGCTTAGAAAGATATGAGACGTTTTGCTAAATGGGAAGCATAGAGTTATGCAACTACAAAGGAGCTGCAGGCTCTTTAAAATGAAGTTAGGCAGACTGCAGTATCTGCAGCTAGTGGGATTCACAAAAGGACACTTGCTGATCAGGTACTTAAGGGAAAGGCAGTGGGAATAAGGTGCAGTGTCTGCTTAAATACTTTTATAAATAACAATTGACTTCTTTAAACCCTCTGATGTGTTTGCAAATGTGTACTTATATAAAACTTGAGTTCAATAGCATTAGAGGTTTTCTATAGATGGTGAATTGTTGATTTTTCTTTTTAAGTGGAAAACCTGGGTTTTTTTTCTGACACATATGGCAGCAAATTGAATTATAAATAAATGAAGCATGAACCAAAATTACGTAAGTCAAGTATTAACAAGTCCTGGAGATACAATACAGGTGAAGCCTGCACGATTTAGCAACAGATCTCTTCCTGACATCCAGTGATAATTCTGAAGAAAAAAAAATCCCTTAATTCCTCACAGGTGGTAGAAGGTTTAGACAGGATGAATTATAGGAGCAATAGATTAAAATCTCTTTTATGATTCTCATCAAAAAGAGCTTGGTATTTTTAACACCAAATACTCTAGGTGTTGCTGTCTGGATGTGTTCAGTAATAGAAACAGATTTTTGTCTCCTTCACCGTTTTCATGAATAGACCCCAAGATTCAAAAAGATAACCATAAAATCTGGCTTAATGCCGGGTTTCTAGTTTGTGAAAACTTTTGACTGAAAAAAGAAAGCAGCCTCCAAATGACATGAGAAGTCAGAATTCAGAGCTGTGTTTTCCCCCTCTGCAGAGACAGCGGCAAGTGACATTTCCAAAAATCAGCGGGGTCCTGGGGAGCCCTGCGGCTGCTGTGTAGAAGGGAGGGGTGGCAAGGCAGCCAGGGGTAATGTGCTGTGGTCTGCCAGCACCTGCTGCCTGGTCCCAGACTTGCCATTGCTGGGCTCCCACATCTCCAATGGAAATGTGTTTAGAGTCAGACAGCCCAGGAACCTGAAACCGCTGGGATTCTCAGCAGTGAAAAGTGCTCCTAGAAGTGGTCCTGAAGACCACTGTTAAGGAATTGAATCCAAAGTACAAACAGGATCCATGGGGGCACTTGGGTGCCCTGACAAGGCAGTGATGCCCAAGAAGTCCCTGGCTCCAGTTTAAGGCCAAAAAGGGACATCAGAAATCCTTCTACAAATGAAGAGCTAATAAGGTCAATGTAAAAAGAAAACACAGATGGCTAGAAGATACACAGAAAGTGACGAGTCCAAACTCCCCAAGTTGTTGACACATCTGGAGTGCCAAAATATGATGTAAAATTAGAACAGTCTATTAACCAGTTTGGTTTTGTCTCAAACAAAACATCCATTGAGCCTAGTATCCCGGTAACATTTTGGTTTGGGAGGGATAGAATATTAAACCAATCATATAAATGGATGTTTTTCTCACACCCATCCTTCAAGGGTCCAGAGATACCTCAAAGCTTATGTATTTAATTAGTAAGAGGGTATGTTCAAATAGCTACTTTAATAAGTCTTCATAGATTTCATGACTTCTCAGAAGATGCAGATGCCTACAGCATCCAGGCAGGTAACTGCTAGACAATTTCAGTCATGTGATTTCAGTTTTTAGGGCTCCTGCATCATTACCATTTGTTCCTAGAGATTTGTTTTGTTGAATTTTTAGAGACTTAATTTGAGACAATTTCTTCAGCTTTTCCCCATGAAGAAATTTTCTGGTGTGGGAATATCTCTTAGCCATTGAATTACCACAGTGTTTGCTATTCAAAATTTTTCTCCCCCCCCCCTCCTTTTTTTGCTCTAGCCTTATCTTTCACCCTGATCACTTCTGACATCTTTTTCTTCTTCTGATATGTTAGTTTTCATATTTTCACAAACTGTTTCACCAGATCTTTCTGGCTTGTCTTATTATAGTTTCAAGTTTAACTTGCTGGAACTTGTGTTCTTTTCTAGCTTCTTAATCTTGACAGTTTTTGAAGGATGTCTTTTGATAGTTTCCTTTATCTCATTGCTTAACCATGCCAAATATTTCTGGCCTCTCTTTTTTCATAGGTAATATGCACTTCGTCCAAGTCTCTCCTGAGATATCTTAAAAAAAAAAATCTCTTTATAGCCAATACCAAAGCAGACAACACTCTGAGCGTACGTCAGGCATGATGAATGATTTTCTCAGTTCCACTGATAATCAGTCTGGTTTACCACAAGCAGCAAGAAAGAAAGGTAAGTATCTTTGTTCAGTTAAGTGGAGAGGTGCCAGATAAGTACAACTGAAAGATACCTGTTACCTGTATAACTGCCCCAGCCAAATAATGGAGCTGCTGACCAGAAGAAAGCTGCTATCCAAATGAGAACCAGAGCCACCGTCATACTGCTGTTGCTGATGCAGTGACCTGCAATGGCATGGATTAGTCAGAAAACAATATCTAAAAGGTAAACATATCTTTGAAATATAAATGCACTCCTATATCAACAGCTTATAAGGAAAATGCAGCTACTTAAAAAAATATTAAGACAAAAAAATGCATATTCATAAGAAAAGCTTAAATTTGAAAGCATCTGTCAAGCTTGTGTTCCAGACCATTTGTGAACAGCAGAAGGGAATGGCTTTTAAGCAGGAGACAATGTGTTTGTTGAGCGCTGCAGAATTAGCAAGTTCTACGTCAGACTTATGTTTTGCAACTTTGTAAAAAGCAGGAATGGGTTGTATGTTAACTTTTACATAGAAACCAAAAAGATAAGTCTAAATTCAGAGGATTTTCTTATTCATGTCAAGGTTTTCCCTGTTAAAAAGAAGAAAATACATTAGATGCTCAAACTACATTAGCCATTCAAAACAAATTATTTAATCTGCTCTGCTGTTGCCATACATTGTGGTTATTTCTTCATTTACATGGGAAATATTTATGTGTCCGCCAATCTCTGTTCCTCTACATTTATGTAAAGTTATACTGGGTACTTGCTTAGATTTCCTCAAGAGGCCAACATAAATTACGTATGCCCTCAGAAGAACATGTGATACAGCTTTGCAAAAGAGAAACGTGGGTTTTAAACACGACTTAATAATTTGCAATGAATATAAGATATAGAATGTATCACAGCCAAATTCCAGCAGCTCCAACAGCAGCTTGTGTTGAAAATTAACTTCAACAAGTCTATCATTACAACAAACTGCAGAAGAACTTCCTGTGGAGAAAAGACCTCCTGCAGAAGCGCTTTTCACAGCTAATACTACTCATGCTATTAGAGAGAAAAACTCATATGATGCATCCAGTATATTTATGCATACTTTACCTGCGGACATTAATAGATTCCTGCCTGAAAGATGATGCAAGCCAGTCATAACAAAGGCGTGAAAATTGATAATACATTATCTAAGGATGGGTGAAAGAAAGACGAGGGAGAATTTATGGAAGGTGTAGGAATAAAGAAGAGCGATTACATAAGGTTCTGAGTGGAAATCAAAGTTTTCAGCTGGCAGGAGGTCCAGGATGAACAGTGAGGAAAGGTTTCTACTGATCCTGCAAAAGGGAGTGCCTGGGGTGAGTGTGGTGATGTAAAGAGGCATAAAGGGAAAGGGGTAGAGGATGGCAAGTTTATATAGACTTGCTGATGAGGGCTTCACAGGGCAGGAAACGTGTAAAGGATTTCAGACCAGATCTGTACAGTGGGACACTCGTATGCCTTTAGAGAAGCAGTTATACCAAAGGTTAATTAAAAAATGAAATTCGAAAACCAGAAAGAAAGTGGTTAGCAGAAGGTTTCCAGCACTGGAGAGAGTAATGAACAGTGGTTGTTTGAGATTCAGGTTACAGATGAACAGGGCAATAGAGAAAGAAGACGTGTGGATGCGAGGCTGTGGTGACGACGCTTTACAGATCTGGGAGACAGGCAGGAGACAGGGACCATCTGGACAGAGTCAGGTCATGGTCAGTTCTGGGGATGGTAGGAGTAATTTTCATCTCCCGTGGTGTGAAACTGTCCATGGAGGGGAGGCTGGAGAGGCATGTGGGGATGGAAGGCTGCACAGTGCTACAAAAGCTGGAGGCAAGATGTGCAGACTGAATGTTCCCAGCGCCATCTAAAGAAGTCCATGACACCTGCTGGGTGCAAACTCTGGCAAAACGCCCTGAAGAATCAAAATGTTTGTACGTAGGGCAGCCTTCCGAACCAAGGATCTTTATTAACAACTGGAAATTTTCCAAATATCATGTCATAGAAGATGAAATTCGTTGCTTACAGTGACATCCAGACAATGACGTATGCATCACTTAGGAGTCATTTAAGTTGCATTTTGAAAAATAAAGAGGGTCAGCATGACCTATGGTATCTTTGGCACAAGGCTGAATTTAACCCATGGGGACCAAAGTGTACTAGTAATAATTTGTCTCTTATTGGGGTTAACCCTGAAGGATTCTATGCAAACATATTTGTAATGTAAATGACTACATTATGTTCTGGTTTGCAATGCAACTAATTTATATTTGATGCAGCCAGTGATTGAATGAAATATAGATTTGCACCAGGTTCAATGAAGGCAGACCTGGACCTGCCTTTATTCCTTACCTCTCTCAGGATGGCAGCCCTTGATGTAGCGAGTCACACTGATTACTGTAAGTGTATTAATGCTAGCCAGGCCAAAAAGAAGCGTCAGGAAGCCATCAACCTGAAAAACAAAGCAGTGATGTTCTTTTACTGCAGAGAGCTGAAGGGGAAAAGAACCACAGGGATTGCTCCTGTTGTTTTCATGTTAATGCTCTTGAAAGTTTTTCCAGAAACTCGTCTAGCAAGGAAATATAAAATGTCAGGTGCAGCTATCTTCTATAGGATCAGAAAGCAAATAAATGTTCAAAATTTATCTAAGTGCTCTGTCACGTACATAAAATAAACAAGCAAACACACCCTTACATCTGCGCTTCCCTGAAATGATTTGCCAAATGAAGGAGAAAAAGGTTGAACTGAAAAGAAGAAAAGCCCTGAACAGGCAAAAATGGACTGGATGCAGCTGTCCCGCTTAGGCAGAACAAACATGCAAACTGAATCCATGAAATTTAGGCTGAAGAGGGAAGAACGTGGGAGGTGGTGGGCTTGGCTGAGTGAGAAAAGCTTTTTAAAAAATTAAATAAAAAAAGCTAAATAGTTCCAATAGATTGAGTTTCAGTGTTGGTGCTACTGATTGCCTACTATTTATTAAGCCCTGATCCTCAGCACCTCTGACTGACGTAGGCAGAGCTGTACGGCTGTGTAGGCTCCCACTGACGTCAGTGTCCCAGCGATGTACGCACAGGATGGCTACAGCTCTGCTAGCTTCTCTTATGGCTATAGGAAGGAAGTTGCTGCCGACTGTGGTGGAGAGGGACGTGGCCATCTGCTGGGGAGCACTATATGGCTGGGAAATGATCCAGGCAAAACGCTGAAGGCAGTCTTTTTTTTTGAAAACTTGCAATGACGTACCAAACCAGCCAAAGCAGAGGAGCTCTTGGAGGTGCCAGTTTTACACCGAGTGAAGCAGGAATATTAAGCAAGTGTCTCTGGACTGTAACTTGGCATTCAAGTGGTAAAATTATTGGCGGAAAGGCACATCATTATTCTACGGGAACAAACTCTGCCTTTGTGTGAATGGGCACAACTCCCGTGGAATTCAGTTTATCCCAGCACTGAATCTGGGGCTTTAATCCAGCCTTGAAGTGGAGACCATGGCAGACTGTATAAATCAAATTGGGTGAAGGGTTAGGAAGGGCTGCATTATCATCTTCTTTCACTGGTGGTTTTTCTTGCTACCAATGCCCTTACATTCACTCTATTTACTTCTTAATGCCAACTTTTGCAGACCCTTCACATTTTAAATGCATGCAAGACTTGCTAGTACAACAAGCTACATCCATCTGTGCTCCACTTATGATCAACTCATGCTTGGTGTATAGATGCAACCATGTTTACACCAAAACCCAAACTTTCTTGGGTGTCTCAGCTACTTGCTAGAAGCTACTCTTGGCTGGATTTGGTCTGCTGTGCACTGTGGAGGCTGGTGAAATACCTGGATGTACAAATGTGCTCAGCGTTTCATTAGCCTTATTGATGCAAACAGCTGCCACTTCTCCATTTGCTCTAACAATGCTTCACAGATGCGGAAAACAGTGTGGCCAAGGACTACTGAGAAACCAGGCTGCATAAGCTTAAGCAATTGCACTAGTTTTCAGATTAGAAAGGAAGTGATATTTCAGCAATGATGCAAATAAACACTTTGAAATTAACTAGCTATGAGATTGTATACTGAAGTAGTAGGACAAGTTTCTTAGTCTGTATCATAGCCCTCCTGTGCTGAAATTGGTTGAGTTTTTCTGAAATACATCAGTGTATGATTTAACACCTGCAGGTGTCAGCATTATTCTCCCACTCCTCTTCCCTGACATCAAACCAAAGAGAGACAATTATATCGAGTGATCAGTTCAAACAGTTCTTGAGCACACTTACAAGGGAGGAAAGCTGGTCTAAAAATACACTCCTGCCCCTTACCATTTAAGATGAAACTCTGTCACCATAAGAAAGAACAAGCCAAAATGTTTTCTTTGCTAAAAAAAAGCAGTTTTACCTGAATCAATATAGTTCATAGGACCCAGCCATTGTCAGCACCGTCTCATTTCCATACTATTTCATAAGAGCATTTCAGCAGATCAAAATAACTGTTGCTTCTGCTAGCGTGGGGGCTATCATCAGAGATTTGACCAGGGCCACACAGTTAGTAAGTAAAGTGGCAGCAGTCTCCCAGGGATGGCTGTGCTAACTGCCCCCATGCTAGCCACGGGCTCGGCGGTTTAGGAGCAGGTGACAGAGTGAGATGCCAAGGAGGAGAGGAAGCTCTGGGGACAACAAAAGTGTCAAGATGAAACGAATAAAGGAGGTAAATGCAGTGGCTCTCAAGCTGCAGAACAGCCCACTTAGACATATGTCTTCAGAAGAAAACGAAGGGTCTTACTGCAGCTGTAGCCAACCTATTTCAAGCTTACACCTACTGGATACAGAAGAAAGATCTCTGCTACTTTTTCTGCTCCTGAACAGACAACACTGACTGTAGGCAGCAACCAAAGCAACTGTTTGGAACCCAACCTAGTTCGCAACAGAAAAAGTGCTTTAGCATAGTCCCGATTTCTATAGGCAGAGATATTAATATATGTAGGTAACAAAAATGTATGATATTCTCAGTTTTCTGCATCTTTAAAGATATATGGAACATCAGCCAAAGAAATACTAGAATAGTAGATAACATTTAATTACTTTGGAAGAGTGATGCTCTTCCCCTTCCTGGTTCTGGTTTTCCTTTTCTTTTATCCTACCCCCAGCCAGCTCCTTCCTTCCTCAGTCATAAGATTTCCTCAATTTTTCTGTAATGCAATTTTGTCCTTCCTATTATTAATTACAATCAAATAGCAGCAGTGATAATAGGCAATAGTGAATTTTGACAAAAACACAGAGTGGATTGCATGGTAATTTTGATCTACCAGCTTTCCTTTTGTCTGTTAAAAAACAGGAATAGGTTAGCAGTTTTAAAAGCTTTTCTCTCACTGCTATACCAGTATTACTCCCTTGGCTATATAGATGCTCACAGAGCTTGCTCATCATCTTTATGTTGCCTGGAAGCCAAGATACAACTGAAGAAAAGGCTGTGTTTTTTCTGCTTTGTACTTGTGCCTGATTTTAAATCTCACTAATGTTCTTGGTGTACTATTTACAACCCACAATACATAAAGCTCCTACTGCATGCAAATTGATTTCTTAAGCTTTGCTTCAACACAGGGACAGTCAGGCATCCCCAGTGCACCATCAAATTTTTAGCTATGAGCTTGGGTGTGCCCCACTTTTACTACCTTTAATATTTATGCATTGCTACTGGATTCATGAGGGTTGTCTTCATTTAAAGCAGATGGAGTAAAATATAGCCTATTGTTCTTATTATTGGATTAATCAAGGTTTAATGGCACAAAAGGAGATTGCCAAAATAGCTATTACATTTCAGTTTAAGCTGAAATATTGATCTCACCAGCCAGAAAGGTTGCATCGCTCCCTCCTCTGGCCAACTGGTGAATTTGTTGCAATTTTCTGAAGTGAATTTGCTTCCCTTCAGAACCACAATGTCCTGTCTTTCTCCTCTATTAAATATGAGATAATATATATGTGAAGAAAAAGATAAAATTTTAACAGGGATTATTATTCCATTGCATATATTTAAAGTCATCTTAACAAGCTCTTTCAGAATATTTTTTTTTAATACAGATCAGACTATTCCAAGATCATAATGTAAACAGATAACAGCAATAAACCTCCTTCAACTTCAAGAGACAAAAAAGCACCTAATCAATATTTAAGAAATGCGTATGGAAAAAGTATTCTATTCAAAAACCTTTCAATAGAGCATGTTTTAAAATTTATCAAGTTCTTAAAGTTTGCAGTAAGTGAAAAAATATTCCACTCATGTCTAATGACAACATAATTCTCCCATCCCTCCAATATAGCAATAATGTGTCAACTGGATTTTTTGTGCTTACAGTAACTCTTCTGTCGAATGGAAGAAGTACCACGGTTCATAATCAAAATCAGTCTTCACAGGAGACTACTTAAAACTCCCAATGCACAGTTTTCCTAAAGCACTCAAATTGTTTCTTTAAGATTTACTATAATACAGGAAATACAAGAGGCTTATAATTTACCACAATTTCAACAACGTCTTTTGCCTCTGCCACATTGCTGTGCTATGGTTACATTCTGCCTTTTAAAATGCCTCGGCAGGCTTCAAGGGTGGCTCTGCTTAGAGGTGATTACATTAACCCAAACCATTATAGGTCTCTGACACAAACAGTACTTCATTTACTAATAAACAACGAGAACTGATATGCTACAGGATTAGGTAGTTTAAACCATTGAGTGTGACCATCAGACGCTCAGTATTTTGCATTTACCAAGTGATTAGACCTTTCTGTTGATGGTATATATATTTTAAAGATAGAGGAAAAATATGAATGCTATATTTAGGCTATATGATTGTATGTACATATATATGATTATACTAACTATGCTATATACCTAAACGTACAGTTTGCACTAGCTATTATATGCAGGTCAGGTTTTAGCTTTGGTAATGGTTAGGGAATCCAGAATAAGTCTACTTGTTTGCTTATAGTTATTTTAGGTTTATATACTGGGTTAACCAAAAGAGGTCCAACATATACTTATTTTGGGCTGACTTTCAGCTATTAGAGTTGTAGACCTCTGAGGTCACAATTTGTACTTGTAGTAGTACATGCCCCTGTCAATGAGCTCGGTTATGAATGCAACCACCCCACCAAGTGCTCATCATTTTTTGAACAAATACACAGAAATTTCTTTCAGAATTTCCTTAATCAGCCTCATCAGATACTTCAAGTACCCCATCTCCACATGCTTGGGAGCACCTGCTTTCTAGCTCTGGATTGATGTCGTGGGACCATGGCAGGCTTCATGTCTGTCCCGTCCACCCATAAAGAATGAATGGGGAGGACGCAACCAAGCATGTAGCTCATACCACCCGATGATCCAGATACAATGGAAAGATTTCCATCTTCAGGTTAAATGCTGTATTGCCATTGTCTTTCTGTCAACTACTGTACAGAGATATTAAGAAGCACTAGATGG